CCGCCTCCTCAGGCCCGCCGAGCGGGACGGACCCGCGAGCCCGGAGCGCGGGGCTCGGCTCTCCTGCGCTCTGTGGCTGACAGTGTGACCTTGGGCGAGTCTCGCCCGCTGGGCCTCAGCTTTCCTATTTGCAGCAGGGAGTTGGGGCGGGAGGTGAACTTAATGAGCTGCTATCCCCGGCCCAGCTCGCGTCGTGAGGCTTTGTGACTTTCTGGGCAGGGTGGAGTCATGGAGGGTCTTTAACAGCCCCCACAGGCCGCTGCTCCCCACGGGTTTTGGCCATGAGTTCTGGAGGGAGGAAGCAGGAAGCAGCAGGGCCCAGGAGTAGAAGGGCTCACCGACCCCCGGGACAGGTGCGCCCCTCGCGCCCTCACCTCCACCCCCATGGTGGACGGGGCGGTACGGGAGCTCTGGCTCCCTGGGAAATGCTGCTGGGTGGGACTGGGGGCTGATGGATCATACTATCCTCTGGAGAGCAGAGGGACTCCTCTCCCTCTGGTCTCCCCCTGATGCAGGTCACTCAGAGTTCAGGGTGGGCAGCAGGGCAGGGGATCATGTCTGAACTCTTGCAGGACCGAGATGTGCAACTGTCCAAGGCTCTGTCCTATGCCCTGCGCCACGGGGCCCTGAAGCTGGGGCTTCCCATGGGGCCTGGTAAGTGAAGATCTTGGAGGCTGGGGTAAGGAAGGGCTCCAGCGCAGGGAGCAGTGTGAGCCTGTCTGACTGCTCTCCCCCATGGCTCCCAGCACAGCCCAGTGGGGATGGTATATAGGGACGTCCCTCCATTTACAGGGAAGACCCAGAGCCCAATATTATTTCTTGGGCAAACTGGGAGAGGAGCCTCTCTTTGGGCCAGGCCTATGACCCAGTAAACACTTATCCCAAAAGTGGGCACAGGGTGGGGTGGTGGTGGTACAAATGAGGCTCATTGAGTATCCATTTTGAGCGAAATAGTGTGCAAAAAAGGGTCACTTTATCTTTGTGACCTTCCATGAGGCAAATCCTATTCCCTTGTCAGTTGAAGAAACTGAGGCCCAGAAAGGGGAGACTTTCTAAAGGTCACGTAGATGAACCCTTGTGACCTCCAAGCTCTGTTCTGGTTGTGCACGTCTCCCCGTTAATTCTGGCTCACAAGTTAAACTCCTCAGCATCCCATCTGCCCACAGGCGGCTTCGTGCCCTTGAGTGCCCTCTTGCAGCTGCCTCAGTTCCGCAGCTTCTCAGCTGAAGATGTGCAGCGTGTGGTGGACACCAATGGGAAGCAGCGTTTCGCCTTGCAGCCGGGGGACCTCAGCACCGGCCCCCTCATCCGAGCCAATCAGGGTCACTCCTTGCAGGTGGGGGCTAACAGGACAAGTGGGAGAGCAAGGTGGGACCCCTGTCTGTGATGGGGGTTCTCACTACTGCCCACTCCCCCACCCATGCCAGGTACCTGAGTTGGAGCTGATGCCCCTGGAGACCCCACAAGACCTGCCCCTGGTGCTCGTCCATGGCACATTCTGGCAGCACTGGCCCTCCATCCAGCTTAAGGGCCTGTCCTGCCGGGGAAGGACACACATCCACCTGGCCACAGGACTGCCTGGGGACCCTGGTGTCATCAGTGGTCAGTGCTCCCCAGCTACTCCTACCCACTCTCTCCTCCCAGGTGCCCATCCAAGGGTCCTAGCCTCTTTTGTCCAAAGCCACCCCATACCCTGTATGCAGCAGCACCCCCTTCTTCCCACTGAGCCCAGGACCCTAGCCTGCCCATGTTTGATAACTACAACCTCAGACGCCCCTGGTCCCAGCTCCAGTTGTCTCTGCAGGCATGCGGCCAAACTGCCAAGTGGCCGTGTTCATCAATGGGCCCCTCGCCCTGGCAGGTGAGTCTGGACACAGCAGGGACTGCCTTAGGCCTTCAGAGAGGGCCTGAGTCACATCTCTGGCTCTGTCTGCAGATGGAATCCCCTTCTTCCGCTCTGCCAATGGGGTGATCCTGACTCCAGGAAATGCTGATGGCTTCCTGCTTCCCAAGTACTTCAAGGAGGCCCTGCAGCTGCGGCCTACCCGTGAGAACCTCCATTCTACCCCTGTGCTTTGTGCCTGAAGCCTGTGCCCTTTGCCCTTTACCTCCTTCCAGCTCCCAATCCCTGGCTGATTTAGGTCTCCCTTTCTCTAACCAATTTGTCTCTATCTCAGGAAAACCCCTCTCCCTGGCTGATAATGAAGAGACAGAGTGTCAGAGTGGCCCCAAGCACAGCTCCAGAGAAAGAAGGACGATCCAACAATAAAATATTTATTTTAAAAAAATGTAAAAAGAAACTCTAGTCTGAAACCATGAATTATCCTGTAGCTACAGCTGGTCTTCCTTGTGTGCTTAGGGACTACAACAAGGTCTGGGGCGTTGGTCTCAGCCACTCAGACAAGGGAAGGGCTATGCTGTAGAGCTCAGGACCCACCCTCCCTAGCCTGGGGGATGGCAGTCTGTCCCAGCCAGGTCCCTGGTCTGCACAAAGCCAGTGACAGCGTGTTAATGTGCCCAGCTCAATGCATGTCTGGAGAGGGTGTGGACAGTGAGTCCCAGTGGGTGTGGGCTTAGGAGCGGCATGGCAAGTGGTGAGTGGGACAAGGGCAGTAAGAAAGGCCTCAAAAGGCCTCGTGGCCTCCTGTGAGCTGCAGGAAGAGGTCTTCGTCCAGCTCCTCCCCTCGGGCCCGCTCCCGCGTTGACAGGAAAATGTAGCCCCCTATGTACTCATGCACAATGCGGCAGCTGGCAGACACACAGCTGAAAGCCACGTTGATGTGTTCGTCAAACTCGATGGCGACCTGCAGGGTGGGCAGTCAGAGGGGCTGGTAGGTGGGATAAGGGAGCAGCCCTGCCCTGGCCTGTCCTGCCCTGCCCTGGCTGTCTAGCCCAGCCCCCGCTCCCTACCCTCACCCTCACTCTGGGCCCACCTGCCGGATGTCCCAGTTGACATTCCACTGGCGCATGTTGCTGAAACGCCAGGTCTTGACCACATCGCCCACGGCCAAGTCAATGCGGATCAGTCGGTTATTGGCTATGCCCAGGATCTCATCTTTCCTGCTGCCCTTGAACCTGGTCCCCAGGAGGACAGAGTGTGAGCAAGGGCCCCACCCCATAGCCCTGGAACCTGCCCAGACAGCCTGGTGCAGTGCCCAGGAGTGTGTTGTGCAAGTAAGTCATTTAGGTTCTCTGGGCCTCAAGTTCCTCATCTGGAAAATGGGAGTTAATTGATACCATCATTATAATAACATTTAGCAGCATCAGGCAAATAGTCCATGCCCTTAAATAACATTTTTTGTATCATCATCATCTGTTGCCTCAGTCATATCTTTTTTTAAAGTTTAAAATATATCTTGCCCGGCCAGGCGTGGCTCAGCGATTGAGCGTCGGTCTAGGATCCAGGAGATGGCGGTTTGATTCCCGGTCAGAGCACATGCCCAGGTTGCAGGCTTGATCCCCAGTAGGGGGCCTGCAGAAGGCAGCCGATCAATGACTCTCTCATCACTAATGTTTCTCTCTCTCCTTCTTTCCTCTCTCTGAAATCAATAAAGATATGTTTTTTAAAAAAATTATTAACATATATCTTTTATTGATTTTAGAGAGATGAAGGGAGAGGGAGAAAGAGAGAAACATCAATGATGAGAGTCATTGATCGGCTGCCTCCTGTATTCCCCCGACTGGGGATCAAGCCCGCAGCCTGGGCATGTGCCCTGACCGGGAATCAAACTGCAATCTCCTGGATCATAGGTTGATGCTCAACCACTGAACCATGCCAGCTGGGCTCAATCATATCTTTGTAAGCTTGGGAAATGGGCAAAGGGGCACTCTCTGTCCCTGTCACAGCAGCCCACGTTGGTCCTGTCCTGGACCAGCTAACAGAGGTTGGGAGAGGGAATGGTCCGTGGCAGAGCTGGGATGGAGCTGGATCTCCTGCTTTCCTGGTCTGATCTCTGTGTTTGCTGTGGGAGTGGAGGATGGGTGGGGCACACGGGGTACCCTCAGTAAGGTGTGCCCACAGAGAACAGTAGGAGAGGCTTCAGGCTGCCCCCCCACCAGGCAGCAGGTGGAGGCAGAGAGGGCCAGGATAGGGCTCTTACCTGACTATGACATAGGAGATGCCAAAGTCGGGCAGGGACTGCCAGGCCTGGATGAAGCGCAGCTGGGCCTCAGACAATGAGAGTTGGGCCACGTTCTGGTGGGCTTCCAGGATCCGCGGGGTGAGCTGTGGGACCACACTGGTGAGGGCCTTCCAAAGTCCCTGAGACCCCCTGCCTGTCCCCATCAGGGACACAGGATGCTGAGCCTAGGGCAGGGGTAGTGCCCATTGTGGGGCCACCAGGGTGCACCCTCTCGCCACTCATCAAATATGAGCTAGGCCAGGCCCTGAGGTAGACGTGGCATCTGGACCATGACCCCCTCTTTTCTGGGAGGGGACCAGCATACTCAGTCTCGGGACGTGGGTGGAAGAAGGAATGAGTGAGCATATGGCTCCCCAGAGGAAGGCTCTGTGGAGATCCAGAGGCCAAGGATGGCCAGGTAAACGCTGTGGTAGTTCCCACCACCCACCCCCTCTGGCACCTGTTTGGCCTTGAACTTTCGCTGGAAGCGGGGGGCAACAAGGCCATAAGGGTTGAGGCCCTCCGCGGAGGTATCAGGGCCCTGGGGCTGGTTGCCCAAGCCCCCAGTGCCTGTCCGCTGCAGGCTGAGGAAGGCCAGGATGGCCTGCACCTCGCTGGTGTAGCTGCTGTCTGCCATGGTGCGGCCCTTGGAGGCCAGGCGGCAGCCAGCCATCCAGTGGGCGTACTGCTGCTCCTGTGGGAGGAGGACGGGGGAGCGTGGTAAGGGGCTAGTCAGGCTCTGGTTCAGCCCGCTGCTCCTTCCCTGACCCCACTCCCGCCTTAGCCCGACTCTGGGCCCTGCCCGGCCCTCACATCCTGGCAGCGCAGGTATAGCTCACTCATGCCCTCAGGGGAGGGCACCAGGAGTTTGATGCAGAATTTCTGGCCTGAGACGTTGACATCGGGGACCACCTCACAGCCTGGAGGGAGAAGACGGGGTGGGCTAGAAGACTGGAGAAGGGGAGCCCTGCCTGCGAGGCCCCCAGGCAAATGCCAGCTACCTGAGAACAGGGTATTGTCCCTGGCACTCACCTGGCCAGCCCACAGCCCTGCCCTTGTCCCTGTCCCGGCCAGGCCCCCCTCACTTACCCTTGAGGTTGAGTTGCTGAATGGGGTCCCCTGGGGCTTCATCCTGGCTCTTGTAGTAGGACAGGGTGGTCTCCTTGAACACCACCCAGTGCTGGCGATACCCCTTCAGGGTCAGCTTCCGGGGCCTGAGGGTGAGGCGGCAGGTGGTGACAGGCCACCTCCCTCCCTCCTTTCTCTCCACACTGGCCCCTCCAGCAGGCAGGCTGCCAACTCTGTGTCCAAACTCACCGGAAGATCCGGAGATGATCCTTCAGTTCTGGGATGGTGGTGAGGCTGTCCTGGGGAGGAGAGGAGTCAGAGGGGGCCTAGTTCCTGGGCTTGACCCTGACCCCGGCCCCCGAGTGGAGCCCCTCCTCACCAGCGCATCTGTGCGCGCTGACCCCTCCAGCTTCACCTCCAGGTTGTTCAGGGCTGCATCAAGGTCATCCAGCCCCGGGTCTGTGCCGGCTGGTTCGCTCACCTCCCCACTCTGAGACAGCTTGTTGATGTGGTACTGGGTGCGGCACATGGCCAGGGAGGGCTCAGAGGGCAGCCCATTCGCCCCACCACACCTGAGCTGGCTTCCCTGGAGATGGGCCCCACTCTGGAAGACCCTCTTGCCTCGGAATTAGCTGCCTCCCTGCGCCCTGCCCCCCGGGCCCCCAGGCCTGCCTGGCACCTGCAGGGCTGCAAACACCATCATCTCCTCCTCGGTGCAGTCGGTCTCCTCCAACAGCAGGTCCCACCGGGCCTGCTCATACAGCTGGGTCAGCCGCACCGGGTCTGTCTGGAGCCGGGGAGGGAGAGACTAGGTTGGTCAGGTGTCAAGCTCCGGGGCCCAGCCCCTGCAAGCCTCAGCCCTGGCCTCTGCTGTGGCAAGCTCACTTAGTGGCCCCACATGGGCAGAAGACCCCAGCCCAGCTTTAGAGCTTGCCTGCTCCATCTGCCCAGGCACATGGTCCCTGGGAACCTTTGAACAGACGTCTATTGTGTCTCCACATGCTGCTGAGGGCAGCAGGGGCCTGAGTAAACCAATCAGTAAATAGGTAAAGTGACCCCAGAGTGTGATAAAAGCTATAAAGAAAACAGCTGCCACGGGCTGGCTAGTTCTGCCCTCAGGCAAAACACAAGTCTGATGACTGAGTTTGGAACCCGGTTGCAGGGAGCTCCTCTACCGGAGGAAGCATTCAGGGAAGGACTCCCTGAGGAGGTGGCATGCTGTGCTCAGTGTGAAGAATGACAATGGGCCACTAAAGGGAAGGCTAATAGGAAGAACATTCCAGAGAGAAGAAACGGGGAGTGCAAAGCTCAAAGGGGCATCCAGCTACCCACAAAAGACCAAGCCCATGCTCCCTCGGAAACTCACCGAAACTCATAGCGAAGGCATAAAAAAGGTCAACCCAAAAGGCAAAGACCAGAGAGGGGACTAGAGCAGGGGAGAGAGAAAATTCTGGAAGCTGAGGAGCAAAACAGGAATGGGAACTGGGCTTCAGGGAGAGAGCTGGGATCTCATGCTGTCCTTTCTTGTCCTGTGGGAAAGGCACTAAGGAATTTTGAAATTAGAAAGCAAACAACAAAAGAACAGAGATCTGGACACATACATCCAGTTCCCATGGCGGAGCCCAGGACAGGCTCCAGACTGGGATCCCCTGGTTGAGCAGCAAGGGCGGGCTGAAATGAGGGCTGTAGAAAGTATATCAAAGGAGAAGGTCCCTCGTGACAGCCAGCTGGCACCTGGCAAAAGCCACAGATTTACTCTCTTGAGATGCTGAGCCAGAGGTGCCCCTGCATTTGGTACTTCAGGCACAGCTGGGGGTTGGGAGAGGGTGGTGAGTTTAGAGAAGCTTGGAGTTCTGAGAGGTGAGATACCCAGCACTTGCCGACTTGTCACCCAAGACATTGGCGGTAAGCCTTCTATGCCCAGTCAGGAGATCAGAAGGTTCACTGCTGAGAAATGATGAGCCAAAGAGAACCCCCCCAAAAGTAGCATTCCTGCCCTAACACCCCCAAGAGTTCCCCAAAATGCCAAGCCCTACTCATGTACTCAGGGTTTCCGATAGGCTTATAAGAGCCTTATAAATATGAAAGGACCAGCAAGGATTCCCCACATTTTTAGGAAGCTGCTAGCATGAACTATACAG